AATTTACCTCACTAACTATATATTTTTTAATTTATAAGTTATAATTATAATAGCTTATTATTGTTATCGATATCATACTTTCGGGTATTTGATAATATAGTCTGACTGTATAATCGTATGATATGATATGATATGATATTATATTGTCTATTAGTCATTACTCATTAAGTATCCTAGGTATCGAATAAGATAGTACCCACTCACCCACTGATTTGAAGTATTTATCGATTTCCACAAATATCCTTTCATCATTCCACGTCTCCACAATGGAACGTTTGACTACTAGAAATTCACCCCCTCGATGACCGAGGTCAAAAGGTAAATTGCTTAATTAATAGTTTGGATAAACATGCAGTCATGATATAATAGGCCTTAAAACTGCAAACTGTTCATCATCAATTAGGCTTAAAAGTATAATATGATTATTGAATTAATAATATTTTTACAATCAGAAATTGCAGTTATTGCTATTTTTTCATAATAATACCCTTTAATATATAAAAAATCATTTCTAATCATATACTGTCTGTGAAAAAGTATTATAAGTCTAAATATTTTTCCTTCATAAACCTATATACTAAGACAATAAAATAAACCCAAGATATTTTTTATTGATAATATTTTATTTAAATTTAACATCCTATATTCAAGGCTACAATATTATATATCGTATATAGGTACTTAATAATGTAGATTACCTATTATTAATAATTATTAAAACTTATAAATAAATCACGATAATTATTATAATATTATATACAGGGGATTACATAAAAGTGCAAGAATGGACAGCATACAAAATTTTAAGTAGTAAGATAATAAAAAATATCAATAGGGTTAAATATATAAATAGCAATTTAATTAATAATATTTAGAGTAAAATTAATACTTAAATACAAAAAACCAACTTTTAAACTTACAAGTGATTGTTTGAATTGTATTTTTTATAGACACTATAAATGCATGTAAAATAGTTGTAATGAAACGTTTCATTCAGTCTTCGCTTCTTATTGAAATTATGTTATTAAACCAAACAATATGTTGTGCTATCCAACAATAAATGTATTTCAACAGGAAAGGAGAATAAAATAAAAAAGTGCACACATGCTTTTAAAAATATAAATAAAAAAAGAAGAATGGCTAGGAAATTGACTTTACACGTAAGCGAACGTATCGATTAATTAAAATTTATTATTTACACTACTATTTTCATATAGATTTTAGTATTCTCCGCTTTGATGAASTTAACACATTTAATTCTTCATACAATATAGAAAGGTCTTCTTAATTTTTTCGAAGTGCACCAAGTTGAGCTGCTAATGATGTCTCATCGGAAACGAATGATCTTTTCTTATTCACTTTGGCATCTTTGGAAAACTGAAAACAAAATAAATATTGGACGTTAATACCATWGAAGTTTTATTTCTTAATGATATTACATAATAAAAACACACRGAAACAAAGTATTCGATATTCGTATTTTATACTATTCTATAACCTACTGAAAAACTGTAAAAAGTAAAGACCAAAATATTCAAATGTGATGGACTGGAACAAATTTGTTAACTTATATATATATATATAATGATATTAAAAGTTGTAATGCAGTGATATTATTAAACAGTAGGTACTTATACATCATGATAAATTATCTATTAAAATTGTTGTATATTTTATATGCTTCCAAAMATTTTTATCTTTTCACAAAAAATCTTTACTGCAATTAAAATATATAAATTTGAATTGAACTACAATATTGCGGTCGCTTGATTTGTATTTTCATTTTTTATGGAATAATAAAACTATAGAAGCTGCGAGTATTACGTACAAAATATTAACATTACTATTTCAAAAACAGCGTAACTGGTGTAAGCGACCATTTTTTTTTTGTCCCCGTCCTTATATTATAAATTCATCAGTATCATCAAATTTTAACTTAAAACTTGAAAAGCAACTCATTTGAAAACTAATGTAAGCAAATGAGCTTCAGTCACCCGACACTGCGTTTGTGAAAAGTAACGGATTCAACTATAGGGTGTGGTCAAGGCCATTGATTTTTATTTTACTTATATTTTTTTTWAAATTCCATCAGTTAAAAAAGAAGCACAAAAATATAATAGAAATAAATCATAATAATATCATATAAATCCCATATAATATAGCGTTTAGGATTAAAATATATTGTATAGAGTCTTAGATCTTGCAAAATAGTGAAAACTCAATGTTTAAGATCCAATCAACAATACTTGTGGTTAACCATTATTAAAATATATACCATAATGTTATTAAACAATATAAAGTAAATAATAAATAATGTATTTATATATTCAACTGAGTAGAAAATATATACCCTCTAAATTATATATTAATATTATTATTCTAAAAAAAAAAAATTTCTCTAAGAAAGTATTGTTGACATTTTATTGTTTGATGTTTAATTATCTTTTATAATTCTAAATTATCGTACATAATTTATACACTTTAAGTATCTATACGTTCGTGCAATAAGCAATATCTAACTCTAATAATATTTGAACAATAGGACCTTAGTCCATGGCATATTTTGTCTTCAAGGTACGAGCTTATATACTGTTCATTTAATATGATAATAATATGTCTTCAGCACGTATCGCATTATAAATGAAAATAGATGATTTTTTTCGTTAGGCTTTATTATATTTTTATATGGAAAAAAAAATTAACAGAGAATAAAAGTCACCTGTGTTATTATCCATGCCCACTTTCAAGCACATGATGAGAGTCATGACGGGTAAAGTGTATCCGTGGGTGTGGAACGGGATGATGTTGTGTGGGTGGTGAGTCGCAGTGTTAACCTAACTACTCTACTTCACTCCCCAAGCAAGAGAAAGAGAGGATGGAGAGAGTCTCATAAATATTCGGTGCGTTACTCTTTCGGGGATTAGCTAGTTTCGGCTGAATATCGCGGGGTCGTTTGTGCGTGTATGACGTCAAGCATGGTATTTCGCAAGCGCTATAGGTGGTTGGGATGGAAGTGGTGATAATATAATGTTAAGGGGTGGGAATTCGAGAAAGGAGAGAAATGGRGTGGGGTTTCATTCAACGCCGTGTTATATACAAGTTTCTATTTTCGGTATTGACGTCATACGCGAAGTTGCCGGCAAATTTCCGACCTCCATTCAAGAATCCGAGCGCCGCCGCCACCGAGAGGTTCCGTATCGATTGTTCCGGCGTTGACGTCACAGTTTGTGGAAAAGTAATACAATTTAAATGCCGGACACGTAAACCATTCTATAAATTATATGATTTTATTCCCTGGCGAGTAAGTGGTGGTTTTGTTTTTTTGTTTTTTAGTTTGTTTAATGTTTTAGTTTACCTTAATTCGTGACTGACGACTGTTATAATTTACACTCRGATATAAATTAGGAATTATGAATTAAAAAAACTGATATGAATCAAACACAATAATAACGTGCCCAGACTTAACACGTCAACAAAACTGRATAAACAATCGGATATTACATTTAATGATAAAATTTAATTATTAATTAGATGTCTATTACTTTGACGAGGAGTAGTACTGAATACCACATTATATCTATTTTCTAGCATAAGCATACGAAAACACAATACTTAATAAGCCTATAAAGATTTTGTATCTTTGCTAGGTATGTATTATTGTCTAAAAATTACAATCAAAATTAAAATTAAATGGAAATTGTTTTAAATTAAAATAAGCTTGTACACTAAATATTATATAAACTACTATAATAAWAATACAATATTAATGTAWAGCTAGACTTTTCATCTTTGTCGAGATTTCTGAGAACAGTTTATATAAAGGAAACTAAAAATAAAGATACCATAGTACCTACATAAATTCTTGTAAATATGTATTCAAGGAATAATATTATTGCTATAATATACCTTATAGGTATTTATATCTTAGAAAATGTTAACTGCTTCAGAGCATTAATCAATTAAATAATAATAAAGTTAATTACTATTTATTCATTTTAATAACATTTATGTAATTGTATGGTTAACGCAGCATGTTGAAATATTATATTTCAAGAGTACATTTATTTAGTAATATTAAGTTTGATTAATTTTCAGAAGATCGGTAGACGTAAAAAAATATTCTCATCAACTGATTATTTATTTAATAATAATTAATTTGGAAAATAACTTGGAATCTTAGACACTCAATTCAAAGTATTATTTATAAATATTTTCGATTATAAATATAATATCGTAATACACATCATATTTAGGATAATACTTAAATAAGGATTCATATTTCTATAAGTTTTGATCAATTAAATCATAATATACTAAGTATAGTACCTATATGTATTGACTAAAAGTCATTATATACTATCAACCATCAAAGCAAAAATATAAATAATACATTTAGATAGTTATAAATTATGATTTTTTAATATGTTATAAGATATTATTGATTTATAAATTGAAATTAACGTTAAAACGCTTAAAAAAATTCATTAGCTATCAGTTTCATATCTATACAATTGTGTGGCATG